GTGTGTGTGTGTGTGTGTGTGTATAGAGGCTGCAGGGTCTTTTGGAGCCAGAGACATAGATTTTGAGTCCTCAGAGGAAGAGGAGGCTAAATGGAGATCAGACTGTAACACAGTTAGCGATGTCCTGGATTCGAGAGAGAGCTGGGAGAAGGCCGGGGAAGAGGAAGGAAGGAACCAGATTAGAAAACACAAGAAAACGACATGAGTGAAATGGACATTTTTCCCGAGCCAGGAATGAGAGCGATCGGGGAAATCAGTCCGAGGCCAAGAAACAAAATGTCTGGAGAGGTAAAGGGTCTGCGAAGAACCTTTGAGATATATTTCTGTACGAGTTTCCCCCCCTCTGCTGCTACACTGAAATTAATCTGAAAAAAATGTATGAGAGGAGGAAATACTGATAGTGACACAGAGGGTTCAGGGATGAGATAATCATTCGGTCGGTGTGAACCTCCGCCCTGTGACTGACGCTCCCAGGGGCCTTTCCAAACCCTGCGGCCAGCCGGACTAGCCCCACCCCTCTTTGTGACGACACGGCAGCGTTTCCTGATCCCAGCTGAGGTCAAACTCCAGCTCACATCCATCTTAATAAAACAACACCAAGCAAGAGGAGCAGCTGCGCTCGGAAATCAGTTAAATTAGAAACTATAAGCTCTTTTTCCAGGTAATAAGATACCCTCCTTCACACATACTTTAAGATATATAAACATACTTGAACGTTTTAAAATCACATCTTCATTAGTTAAAGAATGAACTGAGGAATATGCAAATGTTTTAAAATGTTAAAAAGCTTTAACTCCAGGACACAAGACGTCTCCTATTTTACTCATTTCACCGGTACAATGCCGGCTGACACCACACCGGTCCGTCCGTCCATCTCCCGCTCCAAGACCCCAGCGTAATTAAACTTTTTTCACATGGAGCAACAACTGACCCATTTGGTGGATCTTGGATTTTTCTAAATTCAGTGAGGTGCACATTTAATTCATTGCCTGTTTAGCTCTGTAGCTTTTTAAACAAAACCACACGTTTCAATATATTTAAAAAAAATAGTTCCTTCAATTGTTCAAGCAAATTGTGTTTTCTAAAAACCTTGGAAAATAAAAATTCTTGATAAATTGTCATAGTTATTGTTAAGATTTTTATTAAGTGATTTTGTTAGGAAGTGACTCCTCCCCCCCCCCGGCTCACATTATCAGATCCACTTAATCCGTCAGCCTCGTTCACACTGTGCGTTTCCTGTGTGAACTGTGATAAAATCATTAACAGGGTCTGGGTGTGTTCAGGTTGTTTTGAAGGCTGCTGGATTACGTCATATTTGCCAACGGTTGATAATGATTTTTAACCCTTTAAACCTCAGTGACCTCACCACTGTCATTGTAATCTCGTGCAGTGCAGACAAACAAATATTCAAATGCACAGAAGTGGATATCACAGAGTTTCCAAACACACCAGATACAGTGTACTTGGTAGATTTCAGGGCAAATGTGTCTCAGGCTACATCCTACATCAGTACATTTTCATTTGAAAGGAGCTGGAACGCCTGACGTCAGTGTTGGTGACCCTCTTGTCTTTGCCAACATCAGTTGTGCAGTTAAATTCTGCATTTTACACTGATATGACTGTTTACATGTGTAGGGCACAAGCTGCTATTTGAGCAGTCTGCAACAATTCCCATGTCCAGTGAGGCGCTCATGACTTCCTGTTTACACCAGCAGAGCACGCCCAGTGCACAACAGTGGTCACTTCATATAACGTTTTCAGGTGTGTTAGGAGGGACGGGGATTGTGATTTCAAACTAAAATGTAGTCGTATGGATGCAGCCTTACGCTGATCAGACATCTAAAAACCTTTCATTGGATGGAGGGGTGCAGCCCTGAAGAGCGTGGAGTCTTTACTGAGGAGGAGCTGGTACAAGCTGACACTGAAGATACTGGATGTTTCGTCTGACAGCGACGAATAACTAACTGACTTTAAATGAGCACAGTCAATTTCTCAGATTTCAAACATAGAAACATGTTTAAGTAATGATTTCCTGAAGGCCCAGGTGACGTCTAAGAGAGTCAGAGAGTTTAACGTCCAAAAGTCAAGAGCACTGTACAACCACCGACAAGTGACTGAGAATATTCTAATTGAATTTAGGACTGCAATTAATGACTAATGTCAATATACTGTGTATTAATCTACTGATTATCCATTCATCAGTTGTCTACATCGCTCATCCTGTGAGGAGCTGACACCATCACGGTGCTGAGACATAGAGAGAAACACACACTCACACCAAGAATACCCACAAGGCCCTGGTTCGCAATCAGGTTCGAACCCAGAACCCTCTTGCTGTGAGGCCAACCACTGCACCACTGCGTCGCCATAATCTACCTGTTATGTTCTTCATTAATCTTCATTAATCATTCGGTTCATTTATTAAAAAAAGGAGGGAACAGTGAACATTTGCCAACATCGAATAAAGAATCCATTATAAAAGGGGTGAGTTAACGTTTTAGTTATGTTATTAGTTTATGTTGATTGACTGATCATCACCATCACATTTTCATCAGGGCTGTGGATCTGACACAACTACAAGTCTACCATTAAACACCGGCATTCTTCCTCACATTTACGTTAAAGGAAGTAAGTAGGAAAGTATGATCACCCCCCCCCCCCTTTATTTTCTAACATTTTATCATCCAAAAAATGGGATGATTAATTGATGATAAAATTACAGCTGCAGCCTCAGTGGATGATTAATTTCCTGTCAAACCTCTAATAGATCAACTGTTTCAGCTCTCAGACAGTATGTTTTCGGTTTGAACACAACAAAGCCTGATCCCAGGTCCCAACGAAACACACAAGCAGCAACAGTCGGGTAACTCTGAACATCAACTCTTCATCAACAAACGCAGCGTTAGCAAACAGCCCAGCAGCCTCACCCACTCTGTGTTCAACTGCTGAATAATCTCAGAGGCATGTAGTCTGACTCCAACCGCAATCACAGCGGGATCTGAGGAAAATGTGTTCTCTTCGCTGTTTTCATCGCTCAACTATTAAACCAGCTGGAACAAACCATCCGAGTCAGGACATTTTGTTTGACATAAAACACACACTGCACTGTAACACAACATAAGTCATCCTCCACGTTGGTCTGACTGGGATCAGAGCAGAGCTGAAACGATTAGTCACTCGACAGACAAACTAATCCAGAACTGATAATCGATTAATCATTTAATAATTCTGCAGGATGTCTTGGCTCTCTGTTGGTTTTTAAGTCCTGGTCAGAATAAACAAGCAATTAGAAAATCTTGGGGTTTTAAAGAACTTGTGATTGCCATTTTATTTTTACCCCTGGTATTTTATAAATCCAACAAACAATTGATTGTTAAGTTGCAGCCTTGGATCAGTGACTACTGGTGTGTGAGCTGACCTTATTCACAGCTTAACACTGACCAGGCAGCAGTGACGAGGTTCTTACTTTTCAAAAATGCATCCTGTCATCTGTGCTACAGCCAGGTGCAAGACTGTTTTGGCCCAGACCTGACCCACACTGCCCCACTGTCATGCGGCCCCCATACTGTGTGGAATGATGTCACTCAGCCGGTCTGCTCCTGTTTGCCAGATCTGGGCCACGATTAAGCCATAGCAATACCGCAAGTCGATCAAAGGTGACCTGAATCAGTTATGTGCTATCTGGGCCAATTTAAGTTCACATCCAGATTACACCGTGCAGACGGCACTGCATGTTTGTCAAAAAGTTTGTGGCCAACTTTCACATCCATTTTGTCTCGGCCACAAGTGCTGCATCATTACCTGGAGTGGCCCACATCCGTATGCTGTCTGGGGGTGCTGTCACTAATGCAAAGCCCTGGTTCAAGCATGCCTGGAGGAGGACTGACGAAGGAGTGAGAGTCGGTGGAGGTGTACCTTTAACCTATGCACCCTCCTTATAAGAAAGAGAGGCATAACCATTGACTATTGCAATGCACTTTATTCCTGTATCGTTAGGCAGAATATTGAAAGACTCAAAACGCTGCTTCTGGGATTTTAACAACCACAAAGAGAAGTGATCACTTCACGCCTTCCCTCGCTGCAGTTCACTGGAAACCTGTCAGTTTTTAGAATTGACTCTTTGACTCTGAATAGACAGTCTATATTCATGACTTGCTCAAACTCCCTGAGATCCTGGGCCCTATTAACAGTTCCAAAATCAGTCACCTTTAGTAACCAGGCCTGTGCTTGGAACTCAAACTCAGTATCTTCTTCAAAATCTCTCTCTCACTTTAATCGTCTGGCTCATTTCTAGGTGTTGTCTTTTCAAATTGGAATGACGATTCTTGAAATTCAGCACTTTGTAACTCTGTATTTGCAAAGTGCCATATGAATAAAGTTACTTTGATGATTGTGATTATTGCGAAGCTCTCTCTGCTTTCTTTCCCCTCTGCTTATAATAAGGTATGTAGTAGCAGCAGCAGCAGCATGAGCAGCAGCAGCAGCAGGGGTTGCGAAATCCTCTCGCTTTAACACACACACACACTCCTGCTGTCTGAAGACTGTTTCAGGCCCTGTGAGGAAAACCCAGAAAACAGGACAACAGCAGCTCCCTCAGGGATGTGGAAGGTATTTGTGTGGCAGTGACTGAGGGGCTGACTTCTCCTGAGTCAGCTGTCAACTTACCCACAGATCTGTGCCCCAGTCCATGTCTGCGAACACGTCCAGAGGAGGGGAAGTACACTTTCAAAAGATTCAAAGAAGGAATACTCCTGTGTCGGTTCGCCCAGGTGACGGAGGAGAGGAAAGGAAAGAAGTCCTCTCGTTCACAGAAGATCCCAGAAAACTTTTCTCTATCTTTTTTTTTGTTTGAGTCTCGCAAGCGGAGATGGCGGAGGAAATGTTTGGAGGAAGTCTACGCCTTCTCCTTTCCTTGGCACGGACGCTTGGCTGTCCTGTGCCTCCCAGCAGCCAGAGAGAGAGAGAGAGAGAGAGAGAGCGAGAGAGAGAGAGAGACGAGGCCGGGGGGGGGGGGGGGTGTGTTCGGGCGCTTTTCCTGAAACAAGTTTGGGTCCCAGAGAGAGAGAGAAGGGGGAGGAGAGAGGGTGGATGGGAAAACCTACCACCGGTCTTTTCTGTTTGTTGAGGTTATTTTTCAGAATAAATATCGCAGCGCACCTGAGAGATTCTAAAACAGAGATAAATCCTGATTGCACAAATATCTGAATGTTAAAACAAGTAATCCAATCAGGCACCTCATCAGGCAGTCCCTCTCAGAAACCCTCAGATCCCTGAGATGAGCTAAAGTAAAGTAAATTAATTAAAGAAACAAATTAACAAATGATCAATAACTTTATTTACGACACCTTTCAAAGCAGCCGTTTCAAAGCGCTTCGCAAAGAGGACCAATGGAAAACGAGAAAACAAAACATCAAAGGCAACCAGCAAAAATAATACAAAGTCATTTCAAAGCCAAGTCAAAGTAAATGATATACTGCAAATGTTGTGACGTACCCACCTGCCTCTGAGTTGCTTTGTGTTCGAAGCTGATTAGCTTTTATTGCCCAGGTTGCAAATGAGAACAATACTAAAATTAAAGCAATTACATTGATGAGCAAGATGTCACAATGAACAAATCTCTTTCTTTTTTTTTCTAGAATGACGTAATTTCAACGCAAAGGAATACAATTGCTACTACAATTACTATTACAATTATTATTGTTATTATTATTAGTAGTAGTAGTATCATGATAATTATGATTAGAATTAGAGGGCTGATCTCGATGATGTCAGTGAGTAGAATTTGTTGCAGCACCTTACCTTCTCCTTCGAAACATAAAGAAAAACCTGTGGTAGCCTTCAATTTTTATGAAAACTCAAAAGGTTTTTAGTTTATCCAATCTGGATGACTGTAGAAAACATGGCAGCCTACATAGGACCCCCTTCCCAATATCAAGTATTTAAATATAAAGGGACCATTCTAGGAGAGAAACAACAATTTGTACAATTTAGATGAAACACACTAGTGAAAACATGGCTAGGATTAATTTATATTCAATATCTGCCAAAAGATCCATTTGACCTCAATCTTACACACTGGACCTTTAAGAGCTGTGGCAAGTTCTGAGAGATACTTGGAAAAAACATCATCACATCCCTTTGATCATGGCAATGTGCTATAATTATTCCTTTGATAAAGTGCTGTGAAAGAATATATTTAGCTTGGCTCTAATGCATGATGATGTTGGTTTCCACAGCTCTCCTGAAGGACCTGTAGTATATTTGTAGTAGGCTGGTAGAAGTGACATCGATGACTGACATCAGCCATGTCTAAGAGTAAGGTCCTGTTATCACATTTTGTTAAATGGAAATGACCATGAGTGTGTTTATGTGATTTTTTAAAATCCTTCAAATCTTTGAGAAAAGTCATAGCACATCATATCTGATCATATCGCACGTTTTGGTATATTTTTTTGTGCATGTGTGAGCAACACTGTGGGAGTAGCGTCCCAAAAATCTCCATAAGAAGAAGAAGTAGAATTATTGCGAATAATATGTTTGCCTTGTGCTTTGGTCCTCAAAGCAATTAGAATAGCCACCTTTATTAGTTTATGTTATTAAAAATCTAAACATACTGATGCGTTACTTTATGCAACTATAGATATCTTTACACAGTATGAAGGTTTTGTTCTCCCCCACCATAAGCAAAGCAGAGAAAACAGCCATAAACATCTAAACACCACCGAGTTTTTATTTGCAGGAATTGCAGAAAACAAAGAGAAGAACCAGGTTCATCAAGATGCCATTCATGTGGAGAATATACGAAAAGAACAGAGAAACCAGACAGTTCACACTGAGTTCAGCATCAACCCATTCAAAAAATGTAAGAAAAACTTTCTGTCAACCCCTTTTTACAGCTTTAATTCTGTAGCTGAAGGAGACTGTGGGTTCACAAGAACTTCCTCAAAGGTATTATTTCCCCAAAAAACTGTCTCTGTGTATTTGACTGTTAAAGTAAGTAAATAAAAATTCATTTAGTCAAACATAAAATAATGATTATTTATTTAGTTTAGGTAAATTTAAAGGTTCAGTGTATAGACATAGACTTCATAGAGAGGACCCACTCCTGATGTAAATATAATGTATTTTAATATAAAGGGTTCATTAGAGTTAAGAAAACAACAATTCATATTATTTAGATGAAACACACTTTCTTTATTTTAAATTAAATTTCTGCCAATAGATCCATTTCACCTACATCTTACACTCTGGACCTTTAAAGGCCTGTATTTGAAGGACTATATTTATAAGTTGTCAAATTTAAAGAACTTAACTACAGACTACAAAATATAATTGAAAGACTATATTTAAGTTAAAAGTTTTCAAATTTAAAAGTATAAATTTAAAGTTAAATGTAGCAATGTTTAAAAGACTAAACAATAATAAATGTAGCCAAATTTAAAGGATTATATTTAAATAAACCTTTAGTCTGTGGAGCTTCAACCTACATTTAAAAATAATGGACGGCAACATTTCCACCTAAGAAACAGTGTTCAAGATACACGGGAGGACACATACATCTAAAACTAATTTTTCATTGGCGCTATTTATTTCATGGACTTGAAACTATTCCACTGAAAGCTCCTTGGTAAATTAGGTTTCGTTGAAAAAGCTGTTTCATTGCACTGATTTGTTGTATGACAGCTTTTTGTTACAGTGTGTGTGTTATTTTCAACTTTCTTACAGTACATGTCCTGACAGATAAACCCACAGACCCAAAACCAACATATGTGACTGAAAACAAATGTAAGTTCACATTGATTCTCTTCTGTTCTGGATGAGGCCCTAAATGTTTGACAGGATGTGTCACAGATCACGTCTCCTCTTTTCCAGTGGAGTTCTCAGAGGCCTTACGCAGGGCACGACGAGTACCTAAGGAGAAGTACCCAAGGCCGCAGACTGAGAGTCAGGAGATAGGATGGAGGTTAGATCCACTGGTGAGGAAAACAGACTTTGACAGTTTGGTTTGTTTAGCGTTGGACTGGAGCACTGTACAGTTTTTTTTGCATAGTAACACATTTAGGTACCGACAGTTTATCACAGTACAGCGTTAAGGTAGCAAAACTAATACAACTGGGAGATTTATCTGTCTTAAATTATTCTTACAATGATTAGTGATGAATACGTGAAGATTCAAATCTTTATATCAGCAGTTCTAAAAGTTGTAAAAAGATTTTTGAATCAAAGCCAAAGAAACTACAGAGCCATTTGCTCTTCTACGGTCATGTGTAAAGGTCATTTATATCCATATCTAGGAAGCAAAATCAGACCATTCTTCTCATCCACAGATTCCAATGGACAGCCTTAGAGAGAGGTTCAACTTCCACCGAAAGCGCACTGACATCACTAAAAACAAATGATCCGCAAGTGGTCCCCTCACTCTGTGTTTGAAATGAGAGACAAATAGTTACTCAGGCACAATACTCGCCTCTCTGATGCTGTAATTTCTCAACCAGGGACTAAATGACAACTCAGAGGGAACCCTGCTGGAAGCATTCACCTACCAGATGTTTCAGTTGCCTATAAGATCAAATGACGGTGACAAGATATTTACTGAGAGATAGAACATAATCAAATACTTCCTGTTCTTTATAACAAGTCTATAGGTCATAACCTACTTCATGGTACATTGAAAACTGTGGTTGCTCTTGTTAATGGTAGAAAACAATAATGTTAATACATCTGTTTGATTCTGTCTCTCTTCAAATGAATTTCTGTCTTTGCCTCTCTCCAGTCTCTTCTTTTCTCCTGTGCCTTGGAACCAGAACTCTCCTGATGATGTCCACCGACCTGTGGATGAATTTACGTCTTTACCGCTTCGTGCATGGAAAGATCGCCCAAACATGAAATCAACTGATCTCTCTCTCTCTTTCTCTGTCTACCTCTCTCGCTTTCTTTCCCCTTGTCTCTCTCTTCCGTCACATCAGTTGAATAAATGTTCTCTTTCCTATACCTGTGTAGACAAAGCATTCATATGATGCATATATGTAGCTGCACAGGAAGGATCGGTTGATTGAATGTTGGTTCTGATGATACGATTGTACCCCGGTGACAATTAAGGGTTAAAACCATTGACTGTATATAAATGTTAGATTTGAGAAAGCACAACAGTAAAGTAGTATTTCATATAAACCTTACAGCACTAAAAGAGTAACGTCACGCTAGTTTGCCACTTGGTTAAAACAAACGTCAAGGATTATTATTCTGCTGTTTACCAGTTCTTTTCAGTGAATTAATTTCAGTCTTCGTTTACTTTAAGTACCGACTTCAATTTCCAACTCTTCACTTAGACTCACAGTTTTTTCAGTGATGCAATTCTTCTCAAGGGATTCAACTAATTCAGTTCATATTCATTTGTGTTCAATGTTTATTGTCTGTAAATGTATTCAAGAGCAAAGCATTTCAGCGGCTCATCATTCACAATGCATTTTAATCAGAAAGGTTTTTTTTTAGTTCCATTACCTAATACCAAAATACACATAATAAGAATGGTGAATAAGAATATGTTTGCCTTGTGCTTTACACATCAGGCTCACATTAACAACACCAGGTCACAAGAACATAGGGAAGAAATACATGCAGCCCCGGTCACCTATAAGATATTGGCTGTTTCTTGAGACACTAAATGGATACAAAAGGGAAAAGTGACATTTCATATTATCCTTTTAGACACAATATTGAGCTCAGCAGAAAAAAAACAGGTGCTACAGATGATGTTCAAAACACATCCCATCTGTCCTGGCCTGATGGAGGCTTAGATATGACCATAATCTGGATATCTGCCCCATATCAGATTAATAAGTGCATGAACACTTAGTTGATCTGATCTTCATGGCAACAGTCTTAAGGGAGTAGTTTGGGTTCTTCCACGAGTTCCAAATGACCTGGACACTTTCATGTGCGATGGCACCGTGAGGTGCGTACATGCCGTTGGGGTTTGCCGTATGGCAGGCGTTGTACCAAAATCCACCCAGATAATACCGAGCACAGTTTTTATCCCACATATCCTGGTCTTTGTCATAGGTGGTGAACTTCATGGAGTTGTGAAGTGTAAAACTGTCCCCTAGGAAAAAAGGACCAAAAAAAAACAATGTGAGCTGAGAAATATAATTGAGAGTAGGAGCGCTGACAATTTGAAGGGATCTTCCCAAATTAAGATCCATGCAGTGACCCTCACCTGCCGCTCCACCGGAGAAGCTGCCCAGGTGAAGCTGATAGCCGGTGTGCTCAGAGTCGATCACGAAAGAGGAGTACCGGGCGGACGCCTTCTCTCCTTCCCAGGATTCCATGTCCACACGCAGCTCATTCTTCTTCCTCATAGTCAGCAGGAAGATGTTTTCCAGACCTGAGGAGACATGCAAGCTGTGTTTCATTTTAACTCCTGCACCAAGGCTCTATATTATTTGTTTCACTCCTCAATGCTCCTCTTTGTTCCCACAGCAAGTCACTAAGTGTGTCTTTCTGCCATGTGGCGCTGGGCAAGTAGTACTGAGCTGCCTGCTGGGACTGAAAATAAGGCAATAAGAGGAAATGTGATCAATAACAAATATCAAAAATGTATTTGCTTCACAGGAACTCACCGAGCCAATATTCTCCAGCTACGTTCCCGAATCCAGTCTTATACTGATTCCAGGGTCTGAAGAAGTTTTCATTCCCATTGACCCTCCTCTGAAATACCTGAGAGGAGGCAAATCGGAAATTAGCCAAGTCTCACGACACACAAGTGCAGTTTCAAGTCGCCATTCATGTAACTTCAGGGGATCCTATAATTTTTTATGAATATATCACGGTTTTGCTTGTATCAAACACGTTCTAGTTCCAGGCTGCTCTACTATCAGATGGAGGCGGTAAAGCACAAAGAAACATACTGATAATCCCAATGCAAAGAAGACTGGGTGTAAAATAATTCAACAATGACTTTGACTATCCCAGGTCAGAATGCGGCTCACAGGCTGATGACTAAATGCAGAATAAATAGAATCAGTGAGGTGTACTAACAGTCCATCTGCCTTCGTCAGTGTCCATGTCACAGAAGACATGCAGTGGTGTGGTGGGACCTCCTGGGTAGATGACATACACCCCACTGGAGCTGGTGTTGTCATGGCGATAGATGTCATCACAGTCGATGGGCAGGAAGAAGTCGGGTTGAGAGAGGACAGAGGCCACAAAAACCAGCAGCGCTACAAATATTGTCACCTGGATAAAAATGGACAGAAATGAATAAGTATCTTTGCAGCCGTCATCGACAAACCGTAAGAGTTTCATCAGTAGATTTTCCTCTGTTCGTTAAATTTCATTATCATCATGGCTCTTTTTGTTTTGGTATTTTTGCTCTATTTTCCAAGAAATAATTTTTTGTATCTTTGTTTACAAAAAAATGACTTAACTTAACCTTTCAGATTTTTTTTGCACTGAGATTCTGGGACAACCAGGACCGAGGTGTTTTATTATCGCCCTCAAACCAAACATGCACATTTATTTTTATTTTCAATTCTCTTCCAAAAACTAAATATTTATTATAAGCTGCTGCTCTTCAAAAACAAATATTTCAAATATTTGATTCACAATTTCCCCAAGAAGTGTCTTCAAATTTAGTACAAACATTCACCGTCTAAAAAACCATCTAAAATCTTGTTTCATCGCCCCCATAGTGCTTCTAGTGCAGTCTGGAATAGTAACATTACTGTCATCATTAATAATATAGAGCTTAATTAATCTTAATTAACAATAAATCATTAGGGTAAATGATTTAACTATTCTGTTCTCTCTTCAATTAGTGAAGAGCATTTATAAGAGGTTAAGTGTATCAGATGTTATTTTGACAATTTTGTAAAGAAAACAGGTGCAAAAGTGTAAAGAATTTAAATGTCCAAGTGTTTTGTGTCAGTGTTGAACCTCAGGTTTGAATCTGGTCAAGCTCTTACCTGCATCATGACAACAGCTGAGTTGTTCTCTGTCCGCCCAGTCAAATAAAAGTTGGAGTGAAACCAGTCTGTTCTTCACAGGACATGATATATGGGCAAAGTTCACTCACACACACCCACAGCGTCAGAATGTTCAAAACTGTTTATGAGGAAGTAGGTGGTTTACAGAAATACTCAATTCTGGAAAAACCCTCACACACTCCATGAGTTTGGAATATTTAGCTGAGTTAAAGGTTCAGTGTGTAAGATTTAGGTGAAAGGGAACTGAACTGAAATTTAATGTAATCCTCATGATGTTTTCACTAGTTCGTTTCATCTAAATTGTATGAATTGTAGTTTTCTTTACCCCAGAAAAGATCCTTTATATTTAAATACTTTATATTTAAATACTTTATATTTACATCGAGGGGACCCTCTGTACGGAGGCCGCCATGTTTTTTACATTAGTCCAGACTGGACAAACTAAACACCTTTTAAGTTTTTATGATAATTAAAAGTTCATCACAGGTTCTTTTTCATGTTTGGAAGGAGAGGCTGAGGTGAGGGGTGTTCAGCTGCAACATGCAACCTCAACACTAGATGTCACTAAATTCTACACACTGAACCTTTAAGGACTGAAGCTGTTATTAAGTGTCGGTTTTATATATAATGTGACTTTATAAAGAGTTTTGAAATATTTATATATTTACAAACATCACTCGACCCTCCACACAGGCCTGACACACAGATCACACAAACAAATACAAGAGCACAACTGAAGAAATAATATTGTTTCATTTATTTACTGTTTTATTTTAATCGGACGTCCTGAGAGAATGGAAGCGCACGTTCTGTTCTGAATGTTTTCGGGGCGGTGGCTGAAAACAGAGGCAGAGTCATCCGTCGTCTCCGCAGATCCCAGGGTCAGAGCAGAATCAGTCGCTGCTTGACATTAACAGCTCGGTTATTGATGGCTCATCTCGATCACAGAGAGGAAATCAAACCTGCGGGCTTCTGAACGATGAACCAAGAAAAGGTCAATGAAAAAGTGGATTATTTTTTCCATTCTCATATCTCTCTCTCTCTCCCTCTCTCTCGCTCTCTGTGTTTCCTTATATCTCTCTGTCACACCACTGTTAGTGTATTGGTTCAGAGGAAAAGAGAGGGAGAGAGAGAGAGCGAGAGAGAGAGAGGGAGGAGTAACTGATGGTTTTCTGCCAGGTTCTGCTCCTGTCGACATATAATCCATGTTAATAAATGACTCCTCAGGTCATCACTATGTAGCTGCGGGGTTGGGAGAGGGGGAGGAGAAAAGAAAAGGCAGGGCTAAAATTGCTCTGTGTGTGAGAGAGAGAGAGAGAGAGAGGGAGAGAGAGTGAGAGAGAGAAAGAGAGTGAGAGATAGCTACTGACAGGGTGTGTGCATGGCCATGATAAGATGAGATGATATAAATGACAATGCAAATAAGGTAAATTAAGTAAAGATAAGATTCGTGAGTTCTCTGGTCGAGGCTGATATCGATCATTTTGTGCAGCACCTTTGGTAAAATGTTTTTTTACTCTTGCCTCATCTCATGTACATCCTTCACATCCTGCGACACTTTGCTGCTGTTCTTTCATGCATTGAGCGTCCATGCACTGCTCGTCACACTTTCACCTGAGCCGCCACGATGACCAGCAGCGGCGGTCGAGTTCAGAGATTTGATTAATTTCTGAACACCACCCCATGCTCTGCTTTCTGCAGAAGTTCTGACACTGCTCTTTCCCCTTCACCCCACTCAGCTACTCTTCTTCAAATGCAGCCCGCTTGTTCTGGAAATGTCAACATTAGACTTTTGTTGTTGTGGTTGTTTTCTAACTTCTCGGTGCAAATCAAATAAACCAGAAGCAGTCGTGGTGAAAGCAAACAAATCCTCTATGTTCCCTCAAGACCTCTCTATTCATTGGATTTTGAATCCATAGCTCATTTAGGAAAAGACCCACTTGAGCCACTGAGATGTAGCATATGCGCAACAATTACTACAAAATATAAAAAGTAATTTATATCCACGTGTTTGGACGAAGCTAAGGAGCCAGGAGTGATCATGGGATGAAAAATCACATGCAGTTTGGTGGTGGCAGGTCGCTGACCCCTGACCAGCATCATGCATTAGATGCTACAAGCAGATATTGTACTGAATGGATGTAAGATTTACAGAATGTTAAAAAAGGAATAAATAATTGTTGCATAATCTCAGGAATCTGAATTTTGTGTAAGTATGTTTCTTGCGTGCGCACGTGCACACTCCCAAGATACCACAGTCAAGGTCAGAGTGTGTCACACGGACCATATGTTCACAGATTGTAGCTCCACGTCCTCTGTGCTAATGAGCCGCGGCTGAGAGGAGCTGACGTCTTGTGCTGTTGGTTTTTGTCGTTGTGATGGACTTTGAACACACAAACCAGCACAGATCAATACACATGTAGATACAAGGGCTTCATCAATGAAATGATGAGTTGCAGCATTTCTCTGCACCACTGGATGGCAATGCTCCTCCTCTCTCTGCATCTCATCCTTCTCTCCCCCACCTCCCTACCCTCCATGTGCTCCTTCTCTTCTCTTGCCCTTTTCCCTGCGTCTCCTCCTCTTGTGTAGGAGGAAGATTAGAATCACCGGGGAACACAATGAGGATTACCTGATCGATATCAGGGGCAATCGCTATCTTCCATCTATTTTACATGGTCTATCCCTCCATTTCCTCCTCCTCCTCCTCTCTGTCTCTGTCACTCATTGCTCTCTGTGGTTAATTTGTGTTTTCATCCTCTGCCCTTCAAGTCGCTCTTCTGCTCCTGGGTATATAAGGGGAAATGAGAGGGAGACAGGGTGGGGTGGGGGGGCAGATAAGCAGAGAGACATGCACACATAATGAAAGGAAATAGATACAGCTGTGAGATGGAGGCAGTGATGAGAGGTTTTGTTTCCTTTCACTCCACAGATACTATTGATTCACCATGAGGAGCTTGCACAGGCAGTCATAACAGGCAGCGCTGTTAATTCATTACACAACGGCCAGGCAGGCTGAGCTGCAGCTCGGGGAGAGACGGCATAACCCATTTCACACACGGGCAGGGATTCATAGCTGAGTGCCGACGATAAAAAAAAAACACCCAGAGGTATTTTTCTGTCCTCTCAGACAGACTGAGGCCTGAGGAGAGGAGAGGAGTGGAAGAGGAGACGAGAGCAGAGGGTGAGACGAGGATGAGAGGAAGAGGATAGGAAGAAGAAGAGGAGATGAGAGGGTGAGATGAGGATGAGATGAGAGGGTAAGACGAGGATGAGATGAGAGGAAGAGGAGAGGAACAGGAGAGAGCGGAGAGATGTGAAATACAGAAATAAACACAGGTGCACACATCCACGCTGGTTCAAAATAACAAGTGGAACCGAGGAGCTGTGTTTGTCCAGTTCGTAGGAACAGCGAGCTGGTAAATGAAATCCTACAAAAAGAAAATTAGTCAATAAACTGAGGTAAACACTTTTCAATAGTGGTTGGAATGTGTGTGTGTGTGTGTGTGTGTGTGTGTGTGTGTGTGTGTGTGTGTGTGTGTGAAAGAGGGAGAGAAGGAAACTCATCTTTTATGTATGAGTGTTTGTTTAGCTGCACTTGCAGCTGTGCCTCTGTGACTTCCCAACTCAGTCACACACAACTGACCAATAAACCGTCTCACCGGGTTTGAACACGTCACTCGACACAATTAAAACCGTCTGCATGTTGATTTATTAACTTTACGTCACATCTGAGTTAAAAAACACATTTGGACACGTCACATTAATGTTGATTTCTAAAAATATGAAAAACCCTAATGAGGTTCGGTGCGGTTCAGAATAATTCCACACAAAGGGACTCGCATTTGTTTGCTTGTTTGTGTGTGTGAACAGTGTGTGTGTTCCCAAGCAAACACCATATTTCCTGTGTCCAGCTGAGTAACAAGCTGGCCACACACACACACACACACACACTCACACTGTCTATCTCAATTACGTAATCAGTCTGCTCAATCTCATGGGCCGTTTCAACAAATGCAAATATTAAAAAGGAACGTGAGAATCTCACACATATGCACACAAATTAAACATGACTCTTCAGATGTGTGTGTGTGTGTCTGTCTGTGTGTGTGTGTGTGAATCTCATCGATATGCGTGAGTGAAGGTGTGTTATTGGTTCCTGCGGGCTCGTTTGGGGCTAATTAGAGAGAGTAATGAGATAAGAGGAGTGGGAGAGGGAGGCGATGCTCTGATGGATGTGGGGGAAGAGACGGCATCTCAATGAGGAGGGACTTCGAGAGAAGGAGAGAGATCAAATTAGAGGATGAAAGGGAACGAGAGGGAAGGTAGCGAGGATGGAGCAGGGCTGCGAAATCGATAATGTGAGGCTGTGAGCTGGGAAACCTCCGCGTCCTGAGCTAAACACTCACAACAAAGTAAACTGTCTGAACTCTGCAGCAGACATGTTTCTGCTCACTTCAACTTCACTTGTGTTTAATTGCATCATTTGCATGTCTGTCCCCAACTCCACTCTGGGAACCAGAAAGTGAGCTCTTCTGAGGAGTGGCGGGAGTCACGGCTCTTTGAAGGAACGCAGATGTTATGACTTTATTCATATCCTTTTTACTTTTAGGCAGGATCGGAACAGTGGGGCATCTTATAAAAATATTAAGAAGTGCTGAAATCCGTTGCCTCGAGGTCTAATATAAAATTTTCACTAACATTTGTTGTACTTTTTGATTGTGTTATTGAGGGCATGTGAGGAATTTATTATATGGATATGTACATTATATTTTATTTGTATGTATTTATATTCTAGACTGGTGTGACTAGGGATTGTGCATGCGAGAGGCTTTTCAATCCTTTTTTCCGACACTGTACATGAGTAAAGAAAATATTTAACTTTAGTTCTTTCCATAGATTTTAATGAAGACAAACTATATCTTTAAGAAAGGAGCAAGAAAGACTCACGACAGGAGGAGGAGGAGGCCGGGGGGTCAGACCACCGATCGTGTGATAAGTGGGAAACCTCTCCTGCCTATTCTAAGTCTGTCTTTTCATCCAAGGTAGCATACACATGTGGGGAACTTCAGGA